TTGCTGTCGTCGTTATTGTTGCTACTGTTGCTGTCGTTGTCGTTGTTGTTGCTGTCATCGTTGTTATTGTTGTTGCTACTGTTGCTGTCGTTGTTGTTGCTACTGTCGTTGTCGTTGTTGTTGCTGTCGTCGTTGTTGTTGTTGTTGCTACTGTCGTTGTTGCTGCTACTGTCGTTGTTGTTGCCGTCGTCGTTGTTGTTGCTGCTGTCCTTGTTGTTTTTGTTGTTATTGTTGTTGTTGTATGAGTTTCATGCCATAGGGACCCTTAGGTAACTTACTTTTACGGTCTTGCAGACTTAGCCTGTCGTCTTGTTCTTCTGCGAAATAAACCAAAGAAAAGGGGTCTTTAAAACAAGTCAGAACCGTTGGAAACCTTTAATTAAGCTCAAACGTTTGCGACAGACTTCATCTTGGGAATAACGTTTTTGTATTCAAGACCACGTGTCATTCCCTAGAGTATCATTTCTTTGTTTAACGGTTGTACATGAGAAGACACATGAATATGGATACAACTCAAACAAAATTTGCCATTCAAGACCACGTGTCATTCTCTTGAGAATAACATTCTTCGTTTGAGTTGTATCCATATTCATGTGTCTTCTCATGTGTCAACCGTAAAACAAAGAAATGATGATACTCTTGAGAATGACACGTCTAAAATGGGAAAGCGTTACTCCCCAGTTAGGAGTCTATTGCGTCGCATTTATTAGGTAAGGCTGCGTTCATAATGTATGGCAGAGGGAGGAGGGGGGGGGGGGKGAAAATTTGAAATGTTCAGAATAATTCTTAACACCCCCCTTAAAGTAATGCAAAAAAATACGATCCCCCCTAAGCAATGCTCGTAGCTTCTTCCAAAAATTGTGCATTCCCCCCATTTTTCTTATAAAAATTTGCCCATCCCCCTTTTTCCTACCAAAATTCTTCCGATCCCCCCTCTGCCATACGTTATGAATGCAGCCTTATACTTGGTTAGTTACTTTTGAGATCAGTCTGTCTCTCCAAACCGCCATCTGCTTTTACTGGGATAATAGGTTCTTCCTATTACAATATGAAAACAATGGATAACAAGATTAATTAAGTGATATCAACCATACCATAGCTTAAGGGACGGACCATTAGATTTTTGGAATGGGGGGTTGGTCACTTTATTTTGTGCAGGAAATTTTTTACGCCTCATGAAAGTTTATTTCAGAACATTCCTAGAATATTTCTAGGTGCCCACGGCTTTTTCGAATCGCACTGTAATTAATTAGCACCAATTGTCTTGCAATTCTCACGAGGGAATACCATTTTAAATGAGAAAGAAAATTCGCGAAGCATCTTGGTAGTGGGAGTTAAATGACGCCATCATGCAAATTTCCTATTAAAATTCCAGATTCCCCCACATAGATATCCATATCTCGGATCACGGATTGCACGAAAATAGTAGTCTACATAAAGGGCTTAATAGGGGAGGCCATGTAAACCTATATATGTACGTACTTCCACTGGTCTTTCAATTGCCTAGAAAAAGACATTCAAAGTTAGTTTAAACTCGATTTACGAATCAATCACTTAATTTATAATTAATGGATTGATGGGTTGCAAGTATTCGTTAATAATACCGTTAACAATGGATGCTTATGAGAAATCTTTTGTTAAATGGCACTATCATGGCCTCGATGACGTAACGTGCAATCCAAAAAAAGAAAACAAAGAAAAATAGACCAAATTCAAAACTCGCACCGATGTGAGGCTTAAGTTGTGAACAAAGGAATCTGGCGTGATTCGTGACTTTTGAATCACGCCAGATTACTTTGAGTCACGCCAGATCCYWTTGTTCACAACTTAAGCCTCACATCGGTGCGAGTTTTGAATTTGGTCTACACCTACCGGTTCACGCACMCTTTGCTATAAGAGAAAAGAAAGGGGGAAAAAAATACATAAATAAAATGGTGAATGCAAAGGATGACTTAGTACTCAATGAAACAGAAAATAAATTAGCAAAGTATCATACTACTGCTTATGGATAGGCAAAGGACAAACGTTTATAAATGAGGGATTTATTTCTCGATGAACTCTGCTTTATTTCGAAAATATTTTTTCCAATGACAAATCATCTAATATAGAACGCAAGTACTGCGTTTAGTGATAAGGCCCGCGGCGAAGAACGAGGGCTCTGGCATAATCCTTTATTTTGATACCAGGATTTCTTGGACTTCCGGTAAAAAAGCGCATGCGTTCAAAGACTTATCAAAAATAAAAAAATATGTTCCCGATTTCAAATTTTTATTTTGATCGTAAGTAAACACAGAACTCTGTTTGAAAACATGATTTTCATTGATTATATTTCACTTCAGAAATATTGCGCATGCGCCAAAAAATGGATTATGCCAGAGCCCTCGTTTATCTCCGCAGGCCACAAGAAACTCAGGCTCTGGGTACGAGATTGCCTCGACCAATGTTTAGTCGAGCATGCGCAGTAAACAAAAAAATGTGATCGCGAGTGGATGTATGGCAGTTACTATATCTATATAATCAGCAACGGATCCCGTTAAAAAGACTTATTTATAAACAAAATATATATTACCGAGACCGTATCGAGTGGCTCTTCACGTTCTAAGGCCAAATTAAAGTTTATGCAAATGAACACAGTTTTGTATCAGATTTACAACACTCTTCACGGTCGTGATTTCTGTTGTGTTTTCCTCATGAATTATTAATGAGTTTGATAATTATTATTTGTATCGAAAGTAAACACAGAACTAATTTAAATCATGATTTTCATTGATTATATTTCAGAAATTAAAAATAGCTGCTTTTTTTTTACATTACCATTAGGAATGGCTTGACACGTTCTAAGACCTGCGAGAGAACGATAGAAGAATGGTAAATATACCTTAAAGTGAATACTCATTTTTAAAGTTCCGTTCAATGACCATAAATTATCAATAGTTCCCGCTCACTGAACAGAACCGTAAAGCGGAGCATTGACGTTAAAAACGCGATACCTTATAATCTATTCTTTTGGCAAGGGCTGGCTCTTTTATTATTGAAAAGTTACCCGAGCAAATCATTTTTGTTTCAAATATTCAAATCTCGTTTTAATTGCAGCAAAAGGATTGGGTTGGTCTTAAAACAGGGCGGATCCAGGAATTTTAGAAGGGAATTTTCCAGGAATTCGAGGGGTCGGCTTCCTAAGGATAATRCTGAGACATTTAAAAAGTGGGGGTTGAATAGTCACAGCCTGGCTTTAATTTTATGCTACTTATCATAAAAACTTACTGGTATTCGAGAAGAACCTAAAATCTGAAAAATAATTTATACAAAAAGATGAGTTATTTGACAAAATATATTAAGTTCGATTCCTTGACTTGGAATCAGATGTGAGTAGTTTTAAGGACTCTACGTCAATTAAGGCGCCGAAATACGAGACACAAAAACGTCCAACTTGTCGTGCAACATTGTTGCGGTACAAGTTCGAAAACAATGTTGCTGGTTTTACACCCTATCAATCCAACTTGTCACGCAGCTGCAAAATCTTTTGTTGCAAGTTGGGAAAACTTGTTGCGAAAAGTAGAACGTAGATCAACTTTCTGCAACAAATTTGCGATTTGTTGCTCGTTTTTCACCACTCGTCCAACTTGTCTCGCAACATTTTATGTGCAGAAGCGGCCGCAACAATGTTGCGCGACTAGTTAGACGTTTTTGTGTCTCGTATTTTAGCGCCTTTAGCTCGAGGGTTTTTCTCCGGGTTCTCCGGCATTTCTTCTTCGCAAAAACGCACTAAATTCCAATTCTATCTGTGAGTTAGCCATGCCCTGACTATGATCAAGTTGTTTCAGGATTATTGATAACATTTGAAGGTTTTCCCCCCGAAGCACGTGCCTCAGCATCCAATCAGAAAGCGAGCACTATATCACAATATCAGCAACAACGTATTCTGCTGTCATAACATTGACTAAACTTACAGGACTTTCAGCATGATCATCCACATCCTGGAACAAAAGTAAAAAGACAATGGTTGGTTAAGAGTTGATTAAGAGATGAAGAAGCAATAGATAAGGCTTTCAACGCTTAACTATATTTTGAAAACGGGTGGGGGGGATACTCCCATATATAGCCTACCAGGTGATTTCGGTTCTATCAGGCAGAACGAATTAGCCAAACAGCAAACGTTCGTTTTGCTCGTTTAATAATTCCAGAAGCTTTTAGAAGTACATATTTTGTCGTTGTTGGTGGGAAATATTTCATTTTACTTTTTTTTTTACTTTTACAAAGCTTTTCGCTGTTGTATCACAGCGTGGGAMAATCACGACAGAGCTAGGCTCCAAATTAAGTGAAAGCCCAGAGATCGAATCAATTTAGTAGTTGATTTTTGAGGAGGGAGGAAAACCGGAGAACAACCCTCGAATCACAGGAGAGAACCAACAAACAACTGTACTCACATACGACATCGAGATCGGCAGGACTCGAACTCGGGCCGCATTGGTGAGAGGCGGCGCATTAGCAGCGCACGCCACCGGTGCTTCCCATAAATTTTATCAAGAGATAATAGAAAGCACTTGGAAACTTTCGTTGTGACAAACAATGCATTGCGCGCCTGGCTATTTGGGGATGTTCCGCTGAATAGAATATGCATGGTTTTATCGGGATTTCGCTCTTTGACAGGATACATATTTCCATTATTTTGGTTAATATTATGGCCTGAGCGCTCGTTAAATTAGTTACAGTTAATTGACATTTGGTCGAAAAATTAGTAGTCAATTGAAAATAGACCCGTTTCGAGTTCCAAATTACCGCTGTGTTTCTTGATTACAGACTCATTTAGTCAGGCTTAGCCTCGATTTTGTGAGGAGTATTCACGTGTTCCAGTCAAGGTCCGTCAAGTTTCAAAGTGTTCGTATTGTTGAACTTGTGCATTCTTTACTTTACCGTTGGTATTTGCGAGTAATTAGACACTGAGTCGAGGCTTAGCCTGAGTAAATGAGTCTGTAATCAAGAAACACAGCGGTAATTTGGAACTCGAAAAGGGTCTATTGGGTATACCCCCATTGACACTTTCCTACAAGGTCGAAACAGCTGTCCACGGTTGCATTTTGACTCTGTAGTTTGGATTCTATCATGTTGTTAATTTTTTAAGTATTCAACGCATGCAGTATAAGCCTGGCAGATCATTTATGTTTCTGTTGTTTTGTACATTACCAATTCCAGTGACTCGTTATCAAATTCGGTGGTATCAGGATAGTAATAATGGTCTAAAGGCTGCGACAAAAAAAACATATTAAAAATAAACCAATAGTTATCACTAGGGAGGGAAGGGGGAGCGGAGGGTACTCAATGTCGCCATCCTCCACCCTCAAAGGTAAGAATCTGACATAATTAGAGATTAGAAAACCAAAAATGACCCTAAAATAAAGTAACCTAAAATTCTATTGAGATGCAACACGTACCCCCGGCGCCAGAGGCCATGTTGAATCCCCCCTCGATCCCCACCCCCCACCCCCCAAATTGGGTTTCAACACTGGGACAACCTCTTAGTTGATCTAATTCTGGGAATAGGAAATTGACAAATCGCCCCTCCCCCCCTCCCTCCCAACCACAACCCTTGATTCCCCTATCGTCCAAGGAGCTTGAAGCCAAAAGCTAGGAACAAAACTTACGGCAGTACTGGAGCGACAGAAAGCGTACCCAACCCTCCCCTCCCTCCTTGTCTAAAGAAATGACATCACGAGATGATGTAACAAAAGATACTGACAAAAACTTACCGATTCGTTAGCACAATGAACCCGCTGAGAGGAAGGAAAATGGCGGGAAAAAATTGTTATCAGTGAAATAAAAAAAAGGAGATTTCAGTTATTCTATAGACATAACATAGTACTGTAACAAGAGAAAATGAACTAAGAGAAGGAATCCCCCTATATAGCCTTGTAACCATCATGTGCACAGTTTGATGCTATTTTTAAACCATTTGTTTTTCTGCACGCGCATTTACTGCGCGCGCTCTACGCTGTTTGCTTATGTTTTGGGGGTTTTTCCGTTATTTCGACTCTGCCCTGAATATGAATGTGGACATCGAAAGCTTGGCAAATACGACAGGAAATTTAAGTAGTAATTTGTTCAACTTTCTGGAGTATTTTTACATTTATATTCTAAAGCTTTCGACTAGGACCTACATCGTCATCTTGAGGGCAGATTTGAACATTCGAACATAAGAAAAGCACAAGAAAACGTTAGCAAACAGCGTACTCATGCGCGTGGAGTAAATCAAAAGATCAAACAAATGACATCATTGGATGATATTTTTAGAATAGATTCTAAAAAAAAGCATCAAAGTGTGCACATGGAGTAAGGGGATTCCTTCTCTTAGTTCATATTCTCTTGACTGTAAATAATGCGCAACCTCATCATCTCTCGCTGATAACCTCTTAGTTTCTAAAGGCGTTATGTTGTTTACTCTTGAAGCCAAGGCAGGATTCTAAAATTTTTGAATATGTCTAAAAAAACACGCTTGCTGTTGTACAATTATACGCGGGAATTGGCAAAAGATAAGAGTAAGTAGTAGGAGAAGTAAGAATTCGAAAAGCCCAGCGATATTTGGGCGAAAAACCGATTAATGCAAAACTAACCTTTGGCTACCTGCGAAGGTTCTTGCAGGAATTATCATCATTATTATCATCATCATCATCATCATCATCATCATCATCATTATTATAGATCTCCCTTTAATAGTGGTCGCTACATTTGATTCCTGTATTGACCTAATCCCTCCAGTTGTCTAAAAAACACGTGATCTCCCCTAAATCCTTCGATTCTTCCCCTCCCCCTCCCCCCAAGGCGATAAATCGACAGGTCCTCAAGAAGAAACTGTGCAATGCACTTACCTTCTGTATAGGATCGGCGTCTACAGGCTGAAAAAGGATGATAGAAATTTTTTAAATGATTGATTTGTTACCCTCTCTCGGTCGACCCAAAGTTAATTGACGACTCTTAAGACTCCAGTGTACGTCGGTAAACAAAAGCAGAAATTAGAATAGCAAAAAAAGCAACTGCTGGATTCGAGGCTAAGCCCGCATAAACTGGAGTTTTAAGAGTCGTCAATAGAGGAGTCTATTACATGCCCAACGTGCCTTCCTGCCTTAAGAAAAAACTTACAGTTATTAATTCTCCTTCCAGAGGAACTTTCCCTCTTTCTTCTTTCTGCTGAAAAAATCAAGAAAAGATGACCTTAACATACTGGGTAGAAATTGCAAATTGTCGATTGCGCCTCACAAAGAAATGGTGCTAATGTGCATCCGATTGAATGAGTAAAGCGAATCAATTTGAGTAGACACTGGCGAATTGCGAGCAAAAAAATACCCAAAAACCAAAAGAAAAAACAACCAACCCAAAACAAAAACAACAAAAAAGGCAAAAACAAAACCATATCTTAAAAAAAAAAAAAAAGAAAAAAAAAAGAAAAACACAGAAAAGATAAATATCGAAAAAGCCCACTTTCCTTCCTTTCAACTGAGACCTGTACTCTTCGATCGAGCAGAAGTCATTTTTCTTTTATTCCTAAGGATAACCAGCGCGAGAATGGAGGGCAGAAGTATAAAAAAGACCTCGATATAGTACTATTTTGATACACAAACATGTCAGCATACATGCAAAGAGACGGTTTCCTTCTTTTGAACCACTGCTAAATCCCCCATATTGCGGCACACATACAGCCAGATAATGATTCGTCTAATCATGAATTTGAAAATGGTATCTCAAAAAGAAACTGGTCGCTTGTGGCACTATTGTACTAATGTTAATAGACCTAATCCACTGTTTTCCCATTTCAGACCACGTGCCTTTCTCTAGAGTATTTTTTTTTTTTGCAAAATTGTTTTAACAATTTAGAAAAAAAAAAAAAAAAAGAAAAAAAAGGGGCATCAGACGAAAATTGAATATGCATGCTTGGAATCTTATTCTCAAGAACGACACGTCGTCTGAAATAGGAAAATATTATGCCGATTCTTACCTCTTTGGGAGAATCGAAACCTTTTTTCTCTTTATCTGGTTGAACCACGGCCACCTCGGGTGTGTCGAGAAGTGGTCTGCTCGATTCGTCTTCGTTCGATGAGTCCTCCATCTCGACGTCTTCAGCTATACAATAGTAAGGTTATTACCTTGTAAAATTTATCTTCCAAGTACCAAGATTACCTAGAAAAGGAGGAAATTTATCATATTTTTGAAAATTGTTAAGATTGCCGCAAAAATCGCACGCACCTCAAATCGCACCTCAAATTTGAAAATATATTCATAGTAAAAATTCAATTTTGATTATGATTTTGGATAAATTTTCTTTTGCATATTTTAGATTGATTATTACTGTAGTTTCAATTTTGTGATATACAACCAGAAAACTGCCATTTTTATCGCAAAACTGGTTAATAGCATCTTGTAACTTTAGAAAAACGATAGACAAACAAAATGGCATTTACTGAGTCAAGTCCGTAATTTATCAATTTGTAAACAGGGATCTATTTAATGGATAACAAAAAGCTTTTACTTTCTAAGAATAATACTAAAATAAATATCAACATGCGCTTTCAACGGATACATATCGCGTCAGAATGACTAAAATATAATGACTCTTAACCAAGAGTAATGAATTTTCGATAGTGGTTTCATTATATATTGTTTCATTTATTTTACCAAAAAAAAATTACACAGATGTGTAATATTTAATAAAATGGACGTACTATGATAATCAATCATGCTCTTAAAATTAAACATGTGATTGATCGAGTAAATTGTAAATTGTTTTGTGTTTTCTTCATTTTTCTTGTTTGTGCACTTTCGCCCAAAAGTTAACGTTTCTGACTACCATCTAAATCTAGCCAAAACCACTGCACAACTAGAGTTGTCCAAACCGTTTTTGTTTTAGACAAATGAAAACCTTCACGCTTCACAAAACATCGCCACGACATCTGTATAATTGAATAATTAATAGTAACAAGTTTTTGGGAAAGTCCATAAAGTGAGGCCTTAAAATCGATTGGGAATGATAAATAATGATTAATAATGGACAGCAAATTAGGAGTTTTAGAGACAATTGAGGACTGAAAAAGTGATATACATGTTTAGGGATAAAAATCGATAATTTAATTAGTTTTAGGGATAATCTATACTAAAAAAACTCCTTATTTACTGTGAACAGATAGTAAAATTTGGGTTGTTTTGGGTTGTTTTAGAAATAAGGGACATCCTTTCTCAGCATTACTAGTAAAAGGGATAGATCCCTGTTTGAACCCCTTTTGTAGAGGGCTCCCTACAGTCAGAAGCTTGAGAGAGAAATTAAATGAGTAAATGATGACAAGCGAGGTCAGATCAAACAATGAGTTTACTATGGGTCAAACTACTTCCTTTTTGGCCTCTATGAAAAAAGACAGTTTAGAAAGTAACTTGTGAACAGCCAAAGTTAATAGTCAATTATTGACCAAAAAAACCCCGGAATTATCAGTGCATATTAAATAAAGAATTGACAGAAAATTAATCACACGGCTTTAAGTATTTGTTTATTAAGCTATTAGTCTTACCTGGAGTTATAGTCTACAGTTTAGGTACCGAGTTTTGACGTAGAAATATATAACCAACTCCTGTGGCTTCGCGATTTTGAGTTAAAACTTTAGTCTGATATTTTATGTTATGACTGAACACTCTGAATTCTTGTATTGTGCGCTTATAACTTCTCAACCTTTGCAATATATCGTCCCGAAGTTTCCTAAGTCCTCCTCAGCAACTTATCACTCAAAATGAGATCAACACGTATGTCATCAAAATGAGATGTTGGGGCTGCTGTGGTAGGCCAGGATGCTGAGAATCAACATGGTGGACGAGAGAAGAAGATGGAAAGAGTTCAAACAATTAATGACATTTCAACGTTTTTAGAGAAATCAAGAGAAGATCTTTACCAGATTTTAGACAAGATAGGATGGGATAAAGAAGGATTAGAGAAAGTAGGTATTCTGCTGTGTTTTTTTTAATAATTCAATCTTTATAGCTTGACATTTTATCAGAACAGTATTTTATATTTACAGCTGTATTATGGGAAAAGAACGACAAAGAACAAGCTTAATATCTCAGGACTACCTTATAAGAAAATGAGCTTAAAGGATTTAGAAAAGATATTTTTTATTGTGGCGAGGGCTGGGGCTTCATAGGGGAGGGTCGTCAGTAATAATACGAGCTTTTCTCATGTGTACTTGCTCTAACTTATGATTATTACACGTGACAGTCAAAGGACATAAATCGTCTAGCCCCTAGTTAAGACTTCATTATTCGATTCATTATTGGAGTTTTCAATTCATTCTTCATTTTCAATCATCTGTTAATGCATCCCCCCCAAGCCATGACAAAGATGTATGGCTCCATGTTCATTAGGTGGTCGAATGCAGTTGAGCTTATCATCGATTGGCTAATTCTGCACTGGTTTGACAGTTCATCATTTTTTATCGTCTCAGACGTCCTTTAGAGTTCAAKATTTGAATTTATTATTTTTGGTTTCATTAATGGAAGATTGAAACAACCAAAAATCCAATAATAAACTGAATAATGCAGTCTTAGGGGGCATGGTTTATGTCCTTTGACTGTAACTGTATTCATTTTAAAAGGATGCAAAGAAAGCTGTTTGTCCTATTGATAGCTCACATGTCATGCCAAGTTCATCTTTAGCTGACCACATAGAGAAATGTAGATTGAAGAAAGAATTTGTAGACCCAAAGGTATTCTATAAAGTTATCGTGACAATGGACCCTGCTTAAAATTGTCGTGAATGTGAAGCTAGTATGGAAATACAATAGAAATGCTACAAATTCTACTAAGTTTCTTTCATAATTTCATGCTAGCCTAGCATTCAAGAATGTTTTGAGAAGAGTCCATTCTCTACATGATTGAATAAAGAAATTGTCAATATCTGAAATTAAACCTCTTGCAGGGGCGGATCCAGGGGAGGGGTGCAGGGGGTGCGCACCCCTCCCTGGTTCAACTTTGTGCCCCAATTCAAAGATAACCAATACTGTTTTTCCCTTTGATTCTAAGGGGTGCACCCCTCCCTGGGTTAACTTTATGCACAGCACCCCTCCCTGAAAAAAATCAAAGATCTGCCCCTGTCTTGGTTAATCAAAGTGAAGACACCACTCAGACTAACTCATTGATAAAATTAGAATTTAGTCAGATAGTTTTTGCAGGAGAAGAAAAACCACAGAAGCCAGCAAAAAACTCTTAAAGTGCAAATGAAACCTTCGACAATACATTCAGTACTGGTTCTGCATGAAGGAAATAGTTGAATGATAAAATATTTCTTGATTTGATTGATGCCTCTCTAAGTTATGAAGGTTTATACTTCCAATATATTATGATGGTGACGTCAGGTAAGGTATTTTAGTGTTTTTGTTGTATCTAGCAATACTAAATGCTGGCCATTTTGAAAATAAAAATTTGAAATAGCTTTCATGTAAAACAAGAGTAAAATAATGATGCTTCTTAAATACTGTTTCTATAAACCAGTCCATAGATGTATATTTAATTAAGCCTTCATAGACGTCACGCCTATTAGTATATTGGAAGTATAAACCTTCATAAATTAGAGACGCATCACTCAAATCAAGAAATATTTTACCATTCAACTATTTACTTTGTGTACAATCAGTACTGCATGTATTGTCAAAGGGTTCATTTGCAATTTAAAATCAAGGGAGAAAGTTAACAARCTTAACTCACATATGATTCTGAGTCTATAGGAATCAAACCTAAGACCCCAGGAATGAGAGGTGTAGGACACTTTCTCTCTGGTTACCCCACTCTAGATACCACCTTTTCCTACACCCTTGTCTTGAGAGACAACAAGAAAAGAATAATTTCTCTATTTTTTGTTCACAGGAGGTCTGCCCAAGTTCCCACTTCTTTTACAAAAATTCATTGGCTGTTGTACCAGTATTGATAGGTACATATAATATTAATATTAGACATGCAAGAGAGAGGGAGGAAAACCAGAGAAAACGGAATAA